TTTCCAGCCAACGTGGTCCATGATTTCCCTGAGCTCAATCCCAGATAGTGCAAGCGAAATTGCGCAGCCACTTCTAAGGCCATGAAGAGTTGGGTGGCGTCCTTTGAAAGCATCGGGGATCTTTTTGGCAAATGAAATTAACCTCGCCTTGGCAGCTGATGAATCACAGGGCCCAAGGAGTATGTCTCCCGAGGGGCTTATTGGCCTAAACAAGTACCCCCGTCTTACATCGACTTTGAGATAGTCACACATCTCAATGTAGACCTCTAGAGCTACAACGGGGCCAGGGGGTGGCGACAATTTCGGGGCCATAAACGTAACCGTGGCTCTTTGAGATCGAAGGGACCGAAGCAATGGTCCAATCAGCAAAAAAGGAGGGAAGACGTAAGCATTGACTGTAATACCATCGCAGATGGGTAGGTCTTGATTAAGTAGATTCACTCCGATGCATCGATGCATAGCCTTCATTTATTAGGTTTGATGGTGATAGGTAAGACAACCCAAGGGGGTTCTACTGTTCCTACTCTACCCCAAACACGAACTGCCCCTGTCCTCACTCTTTCCACCAATGTTTTAGAAATGAACTCTGTAAACAGTTTGCACGAATGGTGGTTTTTTAAGTGCTTTCTGGGAGGAACTAGCGAATCATAATTGCTACCCTTGAACCTTCCTTTGAATGGTTTAATAAATTCCTTGACATTCACTCCATGCTGCAACCACTGTTATATTTGCTCCTTGGACGGGTTGTTTTCCAAAATGCGCTTCCACACTGGAATGTGTTTGTGGATCTCACCCGCCCTAAACCCTGAAGGGTCTTTGAGCAGCAGATCATTCATATTTTCCTTCTCCCCTATTTCTATTCTTGCAACGTCCGCGAATATTTGCCTAAAGCCTTACTTGGGCTTGGGTGTCTATTAACAGTAACCCACTTAATCTCGGAAGATTTCTGCACTCCACGGGGACTAAATTCATATAATACCTCGAAGTCAAACGAGAAAATGGATATGAAAACAAAATCAAAACGCTGACTAAGAAAAAATACCAACCCAAGCCCAAGAAAAATTAGCACGGTTAGCCCGCATTAGCCACATTTCCGGCATCTTCGGGACCCACGACCTCTTCGGTATCTATAGGAGCGTCCCCTTGTTTTCCCAGCTGTAACAGGCGGTGAAAAACTTTTCTCTGCTTGGCTTGACTTTATCGCCTTCTCGATTGCCTTAGCAATCTCAGCTTCCTCCTTCGAGGCCACTAATTTGATCAGGATATTCTGTAAGGATGCGTCTGCCACCAGGGGGCGACACTTTCTGAGGATTATCTGATACCTCGAGTATCGCTCATCCACATACTTCTGTGCTAAGTGAACTACCTCTTTAAGAGCTGCAATCGCGGCACAGGAATCAAACAGGACCGGTGGACGACCCACCAAGGCCTGTAAAGCCATCAATGCTGCATCAACCGAGCAGGACTCAGTTTTCTTTTTCAGCTAATTGAGCTCTTTGCGTAATTTTGTTACCTGGGAAACGAAAAACACAGAGAAATCTAAATAACTCGCCAAGCCTTTGGCTACCAGATATCCCATATATTCGATATCTATAGCCTTGCAGGTCCATCTGGCCACATTTTCCTTACACAAGCTCATAACATTATTAATTTTGGCCTTTCTTTTTCTCTATTCAGGCCCATTGTTATTCTAACAATTTTGACCTCGTTAGCTTTCATGCAGGCCTAAAGTATCTATCCATTACGGCCTCCTTTACTTTACACAGGCCAAATTCTATTCTGTTTATTTCTCCATTGGCTTTGAAGACAGACCTGTTAAGTCGTTCTACTCATTTCGGCCTCGTTTACTTGTCTTACAGGCCTATTTTGACCTCGAACACATTATTCTATTTTTCTTTTTCTTTTCTTTCTTTCTTTCGTCCTTTTTTTCTTTTCTTCTTTTTTTCCATTACATGCC